TTGATTTATTATTTTTTATCTAATTAAATAATTATTTTATCATAATTTACTTAGTTAGTAATTTTAATTAGAACATCATATTATTTAATAAATAATATATTTAATTAGCATTTATAACTAATATATATGATATTTAATAACTACATGAAGAGAGGTGGCATTTCCAAAGCTTGAAAACACCATCTCTCTTCCTTTTTATTATTTAATTATTTTTTGTACAAGATAAATATTATTTTATTATAATTTATTTAATTAGTATTAATTATTAATATATATATATATATATTATTATTTAATAATTAAAAACCAAAGAGGTGAGGTATTCTGAACTTTGAAATGCCACCTCTCTTCTTTGTTATTGATCTAGTATTTTTTTATCAAATTAAATAATTATTTTATCATAAGTTATTTAATTGATAATTTTAATTAGTATATCATATTATTTAATATGTAATAGAAGAGATGTCATCTTTGCTAAGTTTGAAAACACCGCTTCTATACTTTTTCATTAATTTAATATTTTATTTTATCATATTAAATAATTATTTTATTATAATGTATTTAATTGGTGTTAATTATTAATATATATTATTATGTTATAATTATAAAGTAGAGAGGTTGTGTTTCCTGAGCATGGAAAGGCCACATCTTTAACCTATTATTGATTTAGTATTTTGTTTATCAAATTTAATAATTATTTTATTATAATTTATTTAATTAGTAATTTTAATTAGTACATCATATTATTTGATAAATAAAAGTAGAGAGGTGTTTGCTGAGCTTGAAAATATCACCTTTACACTCTATTATTAATTTAGTATTTTTGTTTTATTAGATTAAAAATTATTTAATTATAATTTATTAATTAGTATGTATAATTAATATATAATTAAATTTAATAAATACATGAAGAGAGGTGGTGTTTCCAAAGCTTGGAAATGCCACCTCTCTTCTTTTTTATTCTTTAAGTATTTTTTTTATACAGTAAAATCTTATTTTATCATTATTTATTTAATTAATAATAATTATTAATATATATTACTATTTCATAATTAAAAAATAGAGACGTGGTGTTTCTTGAGCTTGAAATGCCACTCTCTATCCTATTATTGATTTATTATTTTATGTTATCAAATTAAATAATTATTTTATTATAATTTTAATATATCATATTACTTAATAAATAAAATTAGAGAGGTGGTTGGTTGAGGTTGAAAATGTCACCTCTATACTCTCTTATTGATTTATAATTTTTTTAGTATATTAAATAATTATTTTATTATAATTTATTCATTTAATATTTATAATTAATATATAATAATATTTAATATACAAAAGAAGAGAGTAGTAATTCCAACTTGGTAACACAACTTCTCTGCCTTTTCATTATGTAATTATTTTGTATAGGATAAAATATTATTTTATTATAATTTATTTAATTAATATTAATTATTAATATATAGTATTATCTAATAATTAAAAAGCAGAGATATAATATTTCCTAAGCTTGAAAATACCACCTCTCTTTTCTATTATTGATTTAGTATTTGTTATCAGATTAAATAAGTATTTTACCATAATTCATTTAATTGATAATTTTAATTAGTATGTCATATTATTTAATAAATAGAAGAAGAGAGGTGGTATTTGCTGAGTTTAAAAGTGTTACCTCTATACTCTATTATTAATTTAATATATTATTTTATCATAGTGGAAATCCCACCTTTCTCATTTAAATAATTTTTTAATATTTAATATTTAAAAAATAATATTGAATAATTATATATTTTAAAAATAATATTAATTAAAAAAGAATTTAATCTATAAGAGAGAGGCGGGGTTTAAGAAATGCCACCTCTCTCTTATATATTAAATTCTTTTTCAATTAATATTATTTTTAAAATATATACATATTAAATAATAAAAAATTATTTAAATGAGAGAGGTGGCATTTTTAGGTGATGAAAACGCCACCTCTCTCTTATAAATTAAATTCTTTATTAATTTATATTATTTTTAAAATATATAATTGTTAAAATTAAAGAGGTGGTGTTTCTTTTATGAAAATTGTTACTCAATCATGCTTGCAATTTTTTCATTTATTAATTTAATTTAATCTGTAGTCATTTTCATATAATTGTTAGTGACTGATAAGGGCTTCCTTTTTGTTTGATAGGTTTACATGTAATCTCTAGCAAATTACATGTAAATCATTACTAAGTCATGTTTGGGATTTTTTTACATGTAATTTCCGTAGTTGCTTTCATGTAATTCTCAATGATTGACAAGTGCTTCCTTTCTGTATGACAGGCTTACATGTAATCTATCAGAAATTACATGTAAATTATTCCTCAACCATTCTCGTAAATTTTTTTTTCTTATTGATTTATATGGAATTAATTGTCATTTTCATGTAATTATAAGGGCACTCACATTGGGTTCTTTTTATGTATTTTATTTACATATAATTGTTGTATTGATAGGTGAAGAATCAACAATTGTACATAAAAGACAACTAAATTTTCAATTTTACATATTATTATAAACAACTAAATTATGAAAGAAACAATAATAATTCCATTGGTTTTTGTATGTCATTGTGCCAAGTACAAACCAACAAAAAAATGAACCATTGGTATAGTTATAAGGATTAGGACACGAAATTAATTGACACTACACAAAAATAAAACACAACTTAAACTATATATATATATATATATATTGGCAACCACTGGGGCCAAGTTATACTTTGCCATGTAGAACACTATTTTTACACATCAACTAGCATTTTCAGATTTTTGTTAATCAAATCAATTAAAGTTCTTTTTGCTCCTTGTACAAATATTAAGATATTGAGAAGAGCAAAATCTCTCTAATTCAAGTTTGGACTTCTCTAGTAATGTCTTGGCTGTAAGTTGCTTTACTTCTATCTTTTGACTAAGTTTTCTTGCAGTGCCTACTTGCTCAACTATAATTTTTAATTAAGCTTTCTTCAGCCTCCATCATATTTGCATTGATTTCAACAAGATGAGTCTCCATCTTCTTGGTCTCCATCATCTCACAAGATGTTTGTTAGGATTCTACTCCTTGAAGTATCTCCTTGAGTCAAGAGTGGTTGACTACGCTACTAATATGTTTCACGCAAAGCATTGGTGTTGACAAATTTGTCATGAATGCTAGAAAGTATCAGCTTCTCCTCCTCATAATGCTGAATGTTCTCTTTAAGAGAAAGGTCCTTTTGAATAAAATTTTGCACTACAACTAAGGAAGGGGTAGAATTGATGAACTATCCCAAACATGTTCTGAAAATTCTTTCTAGTCAATTGGTAAAGTTTTCAATGGATCAAAAGTACCCTCTGCAGCCTTTCTTATGGACTCATCATCAACAGGATTCATGGGCTCAAGTTCAAGTAGAAGATCTTTAAGTGCACTTAATACAGTCTAGTTTTACCTATGTGCTTAGAACATTGGCCTTCTTTCATAGTAAGTGATACATTGGTGCAATTTGAAAGTGATTTTATATATTAGATAAAAAATGTAGTATTAATGATAATAGATAAAGAAGAATATAATTTAGTTTATATGAAAAACAATAATCCCCCACATCTAGATCAACAGATGTAGTGAATTCTCCCTTAGATAACCAATACTTCTATACAAAACTAAGAGGAAGCTACAATCTAATATAGCATTAATTAATGAAACATGGTGCAAGAAAGAAACTAAAATCAGTTCTCAATATCCCAAGTTTTAACACAACTTATTATTATAACCCCACATATGAAAGCAAGAGCATTTTCAAAAGTTGGAAATATGATATACTAATATGCTACTGAACACTTAAAACTTATAAATAAAGATAATAGAGCTGCTCAATCCCTTTACATATCAAATGCAATACTTTTCTTTTCAAGAGGGCATGTGACAAGTACCAAATAGAAACTATAAAAATACTTATAGATTTTAGAGGTTTAAAATTTTAAAGCTGAATATATGCATTGTACTAGTGTTGCTTTTGTTGTATTCATTTGGAGGCATCATGGAAGTCTCATGATGGTGTTTGTCATTAACTCTTTATGGGAACTATTTAACATATAAAGTAACAAAGTGCAAATAAAGAATAATTAATGGAATGTAAACCTGTTTTTGAACCTAACAATTGAGGATGGATTCAAGGAAAGGAATAATATGAAGAATATTTGATTTTGAGAGAATCAAGAAGATGCACACCACTTTCTAGTCATTCTTAACCTCATCCGACCAAGTCTTCACTTACATTGCTGATTGCTCTTCCATTGACACCATTTGTCATGGCTACACGATCATCGCTTTGTCTCTATGGTTTTCTTTGATTATCTAGTTTTCCAATGGGGTTGTCTTTATCAAAACTTGTCACTTGCAACTCACCTATACCTTAGATCGTCGATGCTCCTTTGTCAAATTCATCCCTTATCATTGACCGTTGCATAGCACTCTAAATATTTGTTGTTCTTTGAATCATGCTCAGAAAGAAAGAAGAAAGAATGGTTTTCTTTTTCAAATTTCTTTGTTTAAGACAAGGGCATTTTGGTCAGATGTTAACATTAATGATAAAAAATTAAGCTTGCATCTTTAAAGTATATTTGGTCTTTGGGACCAATTTTGATTCTACCAGGTGTTTTTGACCAATTTTCTCCAATAATTATTGATGATGATGATGATGATGATGATGATGATGATGATGATGATGATAGTCGTCATTGTTATTAATTATTAGATACGTATGGCAGTGAAATGATCCGGATCCCGTCGCTGTTGTCACACTTGAGCATACTACTGCAGGAGGGCATATTCTGGTGTACCATGTCATTAGACAAATTAATCGATTTAACATATAATTGATTTTTTTTTAAAAGAAAAAATCAACTTACAAGAATGGGTCCAAAACTCCCTCTCCCAGGCCGACGATAGTGTGGCCCAGATCATGGCCCTACCAAATTTAGCAGGCCATCACCCTTTTGCTTATTCATTTTGTACTATTTTTTGGGTCAATTTTGCATTCTTGGAGCTAAGTCCAGCTCCAATCACTATTCAGGCTTGAATATTGTGAAGAACAACAGCTAACAAAATTAAGTTACATCGACATTTTATTCATCAAATCAAATAAATGAGAAAACTTTATTCGATAACATCCACACAGGAATCAATGTTCGTGAGTATACACTGCTGACGAAGATCGAAGGCTAGCTAGCGTCACAACAACATTGTTGATAGTAACTCTGCTCACCTTCGACCCACCCAACACGAAGATCTACAATTTGAAGAAAGGGTAAATCTCATATCGCACGTTGCAGCTTCCGCCTACAACTCTGCCACCTTGTTTCCCATCACAACAATTAGGAAGTTCACCGATTGCATCATCAAGACACTTCTTGCAATCCTCGATAGAAAGGTCTCTGGTGCACTGAGTCAACCCATACACTGTCATGTTCTTCGATTCTCCAAGGTTTGCCTCTCCCGCCGCATACATGTTAGGGTTCGCATGAGCTTCCTCGGCAAGTCGGCTCAATAACTCCTTCGTTTTGTAGTTGAAAGCGTCAGGATCACTGACGTTTTGCACGTTGAACAAATACAACTTGTTTGCGTTATCAATGCGGCCAAAGAAATCTTGGTCCGAATACTTGAACAGGCAGTTGTCGTACCAGATTATGGCACCTTTGTTGTAGGAGCATCGTTTGAGGAGTCCCGTGACTGCTTCGGAGACACAAGTTTCGCAGTCTGAGGGAGAAACATCCCCACGACAAAGAGAGAGGCCGTAGGCTTTCTGGTTCTTGTTTTGGCCAATGGATGCGAGACCGAAACCAGTGAGAGGTGTTTTGTAGGTAAGAATTGTAATGAGCGTTTTCAAGTTGGAGTCGAAAGGCGTGTTGGCGGTGAAGTTTTGAGGGTTTGAACAGACATAGGAAAGAGGGTCGGCTCCGAGAGACGTTCGGAGAAGGAGGACCCAGGTTAGGAGGAGGACGGCGGAGGAGATCAGCTTATTTGAAGAAGACATATTGGAACTCAGATGATTTTTGAGTGAGGGATGATTCATAACATGATGATGAAGAGGTTATTTATAGAGAAAATCTCTGATTAAACAGGTTGACATATTCTTCTAACCATGCCGAGTCCATCTACCAAGTTTTACACGACAGGGTCAAAAGTATACGGGCTCCGTGCTGGATGTCTTGGATTATTTTATTAGTCGATGTTCTCTCTGGACTTCACCAAGCTGGACATGCAAGGCAAAAGAGCGTGTGTATTTTATGCCTTGTTGGTCAAAAACATATTATATATTTGCCTTTTATTTTTAATATAAAAATCCTATTATTCTGATACCTGGATTGATCATGTATGAATGCTTTTTTGTATAATATTTTAGATTCTCTTGATTGAAAATGGGTAAAACTTTTCAGATTATTTTCATATAGATATAATTAAATGCAAGGGTTTTTAATTTATTTCTTCATAATCAAATACATCATTAAAATTAACTAAATATCAAGAACCTTTTTAATTAACTTCTACTTTCCATCCATTTTACTTTTACCATACTTTAACTTTTTCTTTTTTTTGTCCCCCAAAAACATTCTTTCCTTTTAATATATTGATCCTTTTTATAAAAAAAAAATATTGAGAACCTTTTTTTTTGTATTCCTGTAATTTCTTTTGTTTTAATAACTTTCTTATAGTTTGAACCATTAGGTTTATTAATCCCTAAAGGTTAAAATAATCCTTGAATTTTTCTTTAAAAAATGAAATTGAGAACTTTTATATCTTTATTAAAATATTATATAATTTTATAATTAATTATATAATTTTTATAACTGATCAACGTTTATATAATTAGGTTATATTTTATATAATGTTTAAACATATAAAATTTTCATAACAAAATTTAATAAGATATAAAAATTATATTAAATCTAATTTTAATTTTTTCTTTTACGACTAAAAGTGTTGCATGAAATTTTTAATAAACTGTAAAAGTGTTTTTGCTTAAGAAAAGTCAATCATTCATTAATAATTTTAACATTTAAGAATTAACAATAGATCAAACTATACTTGATTAAAACAAAATAAATTACAAAGGATCTAATTCAAAATTTGAAAAACTATAAGAGCTTGTAGATTAATTTTTCCTATAAGTAATAGGTAATTTTTTAATTTAGAAAATACCATTCAAGTGTGAGGGTATTTGACTTGATATATGAGAAGTTTCATATTAAACTTAAAAACACACACAAATATATAAGGACCCATAAACATAAGTTTAATTGAGATTTGAGATTAGTTGTGCTGTCCTTCCCACTTAAACACTTTCATGTTCCACTATACATGGCTCATTTTTCTCATGTCCCTTGTTAAAAGAATTGCCTATTTCTTTTAGTAATGATTGGAAAGCGTGGGGAAAACTTGACATCTTTCAGTAAGAGTAAGCTTGGAATTTGAAACTTATAATTAATAAAAGATCACATTGAAAGAATTACTCTTATTTAAATTTGCAATACTCAAATATAATGCGATAATATGAGATATTAAATAATTACATGCATGATGTATGAAAAGTGCCAACTTTTTCCAGATATTGATCTTTAATAAGTTATTAAATATATGGTGCTCAAGAAAAATTCTACGTGTTAATGGTAAACTTATAATTTTCCGCCCAGAACATATGCCCAATTTCTGTGCAATTTTCAGTAAACGGAGACATGTAAAGAACACAATTAATTAAACAACCACCTTGCTCCCTCTTATTATATAGGGATAGAATATAATTAATTAATTATCAAGTGGTGACATAATAATGAATCTTTCAAAACGTCGCTCACGAGGCGAGTTCTAAATTAAACAGCTCATCACAGTTGATTCGGAATCGGGAAATTTTTTTTTTTCACCTTTTTCACTTTCACTGTATCCTTTTTTATTATCATATAATTTGTAGTTAAATCTTCACACTGTTAATATTTTATCATAAATATTACTACCTCTATTTTAAATTATAAGACACTTTTAAAAAAAATTTGATGTCCTAAAATAAAAGGCATTTTGATAAAAATATGGTTTGATTAATATTCTTTTTCGATACTACCCTTCTCATATATTCTCTCTTTTCAATATTATTGCAGCAATAAAGTATTAAATAAATGATATTTTTAAAATTTTATAATTTTTTTCAAAAAGTAAGGTTATAAAGCGTATTTAATGAGTTTTATTAGTATATGTGATTTTGTCTAAAAATATTTTATAATTTGGGACGGAAAGAGTATATTATAATTGTAGCTCAATCACCAATGCTTTATTATAATTTAATCTAATTTACTCAAATAATATAGAAAATCAATGGCTTAGGAATAGTACTACCATTTGTTTGTTTTGTTTATTTGTATGGTAAATAATAATGAATAATCTAACAAATGAATGAACTTTATTCAACAACATATATGGTGAATGATAATGCATAATCATGAATCCACGACACACGAAGTTCTATACCCTACACTTTGAAGAAAGGGTAAATCTCATATCGCACGTTGCAGCTTCCGCCTACAACTCTGCCACCTCGTTTCCCATTACAACAGTTAGGAAGTTCACCGACTAAATCATCAAGACACTTCTTGCAATCCTCGCTAGAAAGGTCTCTGGTGCACTGAGTCAACCCATACACTGTCATGTTCTTCGATTCTCCAAGGTTTGCCTCTCCCGCTGCATACATGTTAGGGTTCGCATGAGCTTCCTCGGCAAGTCGGCTCAACAACTCCTTCGTCTTATAGTTGAAAGCGTCAGGATCGCTGACGTTTTGCACGTTGAACGAGTGCAACTTGTTTGCGTTATCAATGCGGCCAAAGAAATCTTGGTCCGAATACTTGAACAGGCAGTTGTCGTACCAGATTATGGCACCTTTGTTGTAGGAGCATCGTTTGAGGAGTCCCGTGATTGCATCGGAGACACAAGTTTCGCAGTCTGAGGGAGAAACATCCCCACGACAAAGAGAGAGGCCGTAGGCTTTCTGGTTCTTGTTTTGGCCAATGGATGCGAGACCGAAACCAGTGAGAGGTGTTTTGTAGGTAAGAATTGTAATGAGCGTTTTCAAGTTGGAGTCGAAAGGCGTGTTGGCGGTGAAGTTTTGAGGGTTTGAACAGACATAGGAAAGAGGGTCGGCTCCGAGAGACGTTCGGAGAAGGAGGGCCCAGGATAGGAGGAGGACGGTGGAGGAGAGCTTTGAAGAATAAGACATATTGGAATTAGGAGGTGATGATGAGTTTTCGATAATTATGTTGATGGAGAGCTTATTTATGGTGAAAATCTCCAGTTTTGTCTTTTGAGGAAGACGAGTGAAGCAAGTTGACATGTTCTATAGAGCATGCTAAGTCTGATCAAAGACAATGTCAAAAGTAAGCTGCGTGCCTGATCTCCTGGATTATTTTATTTGCTGGCGTTCTCTGTAGCCGTATTTCATCAAGCAGCCTGTTCATTGCAAGTATGCCACCCTATTACTTCTACATATAGCTAAACACATATATGTAATTTTAAAATATGTGAGTCCCAGCTTATGTGTATGTTGTGTGTCATGAATTAACACATTCACTACTTGTATAACTAGTGTTATGAGAACCCTAACCAAACCGGCTGGTTCAACTGGTTGAACCAGGAATTGGTCATAACTCCAGTCGTGTTATAATTGAGAACTGCCCAACAAGAGAAATAATAAAGAATTAATCAAAATCGACAGATGTAATAGGTATATTGCTTGAACTGGTCTTATTACTTTTTCTTTTTTTTTTTAATTTTAATTCATATTTATAAACTACAATGTAGACATATTTATATCTAATAAGCATTAATAAATGAAAAAAAATGAACAAATATGCAAGAAGTGTGTAGAAAATGTATGTATGTATGTATGTATAAATGTATAAATGTATGTTTTTAAAAATTATAAATTGTAAATTACAAAATAAGTAACTAAATTTTGGATTAAAATGACAAAATATTGATAGATATTATCTTTTTTATTTTATATTATTTTGATTGAAATTTAAATGCTTGTTTTTATTATTATATATAATTATTTGTTTTTATTTTAATTAAGCATATATTATTAAAAAATATATTAATTTACGATCCAACTATTAGAATGTGAATCTTGATTGGTTTAATAACTGGTCTAATTTTCTTAACATTGTGCATAACCTCCAAAAATCTTGGTTTCGTTATTCTCGGGGATTAAGCTTAGGAGAAATGTATTCCTCATCAGCCAGAGAATTCTGCAATCATGCAAGGAGGTATCATCTACCCTCTAATTAAAAAAATAAAATAATTAAATAAAAACATCACTGGACAGATGCTTCGTTACATTACAGCCACAGGGGATAGAACTTGGGTGCTGCCATGTGCTGTTTAAGGTTGAAATGTCATTAGAGGGCACTAATTGAGCCCATGGACCCTGACTAGGCTTTCCTCATGTGCTGTCCAAGGTCTCCTTTCATAATGCCCTTGGAAATGGAAGAAATTAAATGAAATGAAAATAATTGCGCCAGGTGTACTTTAAAAATGGGAAAAGCTTGAAAGCAACGAGCAATATGACAAAAATATCTTTTAACGAGGGTATGATTTTTAACCATCGAATTTCACCTATGGGCCCCACAACACATGAAAACATGTTTTCTTTGTCGTTTTACATTGGAAACGATGATTCAATGAAAGAAGCCTGCCAAATAAACTCACCCATTTTCCGTTTCCAGAGGATTATGCAGAGGGCCTCCCCTGTGATATTATAGTGAATGGAATGACTGATGATGAAAACACCGTGAAGAGCTTTCTAGATGAATGAGATCAACAAGTGCCTTCACCTCCTTCCAAAGTTATTGAAGTTGGATATGCCACTGGTGGTGAGCACGACGAAAAGTCCCATATTGTGTACAACTTGCGCAAGGGGAAGAAGATTAAGGTGAAGGCAGCAGCTCATCGCATATATTTATGGCATTGTGTCATTCCTAAATGATCCTACACTTTTGTTGAAGTCTTAACTCATAGCATGGTCGATGCCTCCCTTTTAATTGGACGAATGGTGAGTTCTTGATAGTTAGAGAATTGTTTCTTCCATGTGACTATGTGGTTAGTACATACACGATTCTTTCTCACTCATCAGGAACATCCACCAAAGTCCCATTCGAAAAGGAAGAGTCATCCTTGCTTGAACTCTTTGCCAACATTCGAATCACACACAAATATGCGTAACTTTAATTTTTTTTTTTTTTGTAAAATATACAATGCTTTTCAAATTATGTATGCGACAATAATGAGAGAATAAGATAATAGATCAAGTTAGACTCACCTTTAAGTATTTTGTTGATTTGATAAGATTGTGTTGTCTTTCTCAACATTGAAGCTTGCTTAAAAGTCATGCAAACCACTTCTAATTTGTTTGCACAAGTGATTTTGTTCATATTCTGCAATGTCTATTGAAATGTTGTGTTTGAATTTTTGTATATATAGTTGAAGGCAAGAGGAGAAAAACATGAGGCACACTTTTTAATAAAGAGATAATGCTCTTAAAAATAAGGAAACTGTTAACAAAATTTTGTCAATTATGTGTGCCGTGCTGCTTGCTGGGTTTATGAAATTTGTGGGCAAAATTTTGTCAGTTCTATGCGTTATGCTGCTGAGTTTATGAAATCCATGGGCAAAATGTTCTCAATTATGTGATGTGCTGTTGAGTTATGATATTACAAATAAAACCATGATTTTCTTTTCAAACCACATGCAAAACCACTTTAAGTTAAGCTGAAAGATACATTGTTTCAAAGTAGTGTATCTATTACTTGAAGGCGAGAGGAGATAAACATGAGGCACACTTTCCAATAAAGAGATAATGGTCTTAAAAAAACTATTAGCAAAATTATGCCAATTATGTGTACTGTAATCTAGGTTTATAAAATTTGTGAGCAAAATTTTGTCAGATCTATTTGCTATGCTGCTAAATCTATGAAACCTATGGGAAAAATGTTTTCAATAACGTGTTGTGCTGTTGAGTTATGGTATTACATATGAAACTAGTATTTAAAAAAAATGCAAAATCACTTTTAGTTAAGTTGAGAGATACATTGTTTCAAAACAAGTTAAAATTGACATATGATTAATTCCCCATGCATATATTATGAGAAATCAATTAGTTGGCAAAAAATATGAGAAATTAATTACAATAATGATTATTATAATATATTTTATATTTGTACTATAAATTATAACAGAAAAAAAACATTAACAAGTCAATAATTCTAAAACAAATTTTCACAAACTGAAGTAAGATCGTAATAACAGTCGTTTTATGAAGATATATAATTATTAGAATATGAGAAATTAAGTATAATTATATGTAAAACATATTTATAATGATTTGTAAGATAAGAATTATATGCCTTTAATTTTGTGCATTGAATGAAAAATAAAAATATAAGAATCTAAAACACTAAAAAAAAAAGTACGAGGACCAATAGTAAAATTAGAACAAAATATAGGAACTCAAAGTTTCTCAAAATTTTATTTTAAATGTGTTAGCTACCTTCTCAAAAAATTGGCCATGATTGAAAGTGATATACTAGATAAAAATTAGTTGTCGCTTGAAATATTAGATGTAAGCTAAATTCCTTAATTTTTTTTTTTACGAAATGAAAAATAAAAGAAGTGTTTTGCATATCAACACGGACATGATCCCTGTGTTTATCTCATAAATTTTATTTATCTGATATTCTATGATCTACAACTGGCAATTGCACACAAATATTAATTATATGAGGAAAATGGAAATAAGTAAAGTTTGGCCAGCCAATTTGAAATAAATATCATTGTTTACATTTCTAGTTAATCTAAACAAAACTAAGAAAAATCAAACTTTTATCGCAGATAAATTTCTTTTTTCTTTTTTTGCATATATGCTTGACAACATTTAGAAGGTAAACAAATATCTGGAAATAAGAAAAGAAAACCAAAGAGAACTAGGTAGAGAGAGAGCCTTTATATTTGACACACAACATTCACAGATGAAACTAGAAGTTTGAGTTGAAATTACTTGAATGTGACTTAGTTTAAGCATTGATTGAGGTCATTCTATGCCTAGCCAAACGAAAAAAGAAAAAAAAAGGCCATGTTATGAAGCTAGCCTCATTCATGCTCATCACATATATTTATAGCACCAAGTCATTCACTAGTATAGAATTTGCCTACAGGGGACTATTTACATCAATTAATAGGCACTTTTTGTTAAAAATAGAGGCGGTAGCATTTTTGTAATATTATGATGCCATTATAGCACTTTCAACATCAGGTAAAAAAATAACTATGGTAGAAAATATTTTTAACATTGGATATAAATTAACACAATATTATAAAGGTTTAAACAAATAATAAAATTTATTATCAAACTATCAATGGTGGGTGAAAGAGCACCTGCTTTTCAAAGTTGACTTTCGATAGCGGGCGAGCGAGCATGTGTTATTGAATGTTTCCAAATTATTAAAAAAAAATAAATTCTCGCCTCTCGTCTTAATCAAAGTCGGCTCCCTCTCCAAACTCCTCAATCTTGCCACCCCTTCCCCCAAACTCTCCCTATGTTCTGGGTCCCCCCAACCAAGGTACGTAAAACCGGACCGGTCATTAAACCGGTCATGGCACTGGGTCACGGGTTAGTGGTTCAATCAGGGTTGAACCGGGGGTTGAACCGGTGGCAAACCGGACATGATTAAAATAATACAATTTAAATAAAAAGACATTAATTATAAAAACATTCAACCAAATCCAACCACTCAAAGTCTAACAATAATAAAATACTATATTTTTGGACTTAGCATGCTCTATCTCTAATTTTTTATTTTTTGACTTCAATTTTACTTTTTTTTGTTATTTTTTTTCCGAACTCAAAGCTCTGAAAAATTAAAAATGAAAAAAAAATCAAAAACGACGTCGTTTTGGGGTAAAAGTTTGAAAAAATATTAACCCGGTTAACCCAGTCAACCCACCGGGTTATCCGGGTTATACCGGGTTAAACCCGGGTTGACCGGGTTACACCGGTTCACTCCCTCACCGGGTTAAGTGCAAACCCAGACCGGACAGGGGACCGGTTCACCGGTTTCCGGGTTGACCCGGCCGGTCCGGTCCGATTTTCAATACCATGCCCCCAACTCTTCCACTCCCCCTCCATCCCCCAACCTCCGTCCCCCAACTCCTCTCTCCTCCTTCTCATTCTTCCCTCTTCTCAATCGGGCACATGTAAGCTTCCTTTGGTCAATTATTTTTTAATTTTTAATTTATATATATTAATTATTGTTTGATTTGAGTTTGACTTTTAATTTAGTTTAATCTATTTCATTTTAATTTATTATTTAATTTTATTTGATTACTTTTAATTAGTTTTTTTTTTGTATAATTGCTTGTTAGGAGTGTTGTTAATGGTTGCCTAATGCCCTAGATTATTACATATGTGATTAAATTATTGTTGTTTGAAGGAGTGGAGGTATAAAACTATTATTTTTTGC